TTAATTATGATAAACTAAATGGAAGGCAACTAATAATAACTAATCAACATCACCCGCCGCCTTGCGTGAGCTGCTTTTTTATCAACAAAAATGGGATTGACTGTCACAGCTGTAATGGGAAAGCATGTTAAGAGATGGGATTTGAACCCGCGACCCGTACGTTACTAGTCGAACTCCCTAACTACAGGCATTGCCAGGCCTACTACTATAAAATATAGAAATATTAGTGTGTTTTTCTTCTGTTTTACTTGAAATAATAAATTGCTTTCAAAAGATAATAATACTATACACTTGTTGTGATATATTGATTATGTCCCTGAAGTTAATAATATAAAATATAATTTTCATTCGTTGATTTTACTGACAAAATAAAAGCACAAGGAACTTTTGAAGTTTTAAAATATGTAATTAAATTTAGCATTTACCACTCGACTGTAGATTCTTGTATATATTGACAAATTTTATTCTATGAAAAATTATGTTTGATTTTCCTTCAGATGTTCAACATGAATATGCTGAGAAATCATTGTAGTCAGTTAGCCAAGAATGAGTACAAAAAACCCGACATAGTTTATGTAGAAGGATTTCCAATTCCAAGTAAAATCTTTACTCAGGAAAACTTCCGCTCAGCAATAAATTACAAAGCAAGACCAGATGACATATTTCTTGTAGCATATCCTAAGTGTGGCATAACTTGGTTACAGTGTATCGTATGGGAAATCTTCAACAAGGGAGCACCCTTGCCAAGCTTCTGGGAAATGATGGTGGAGCATGTACCTTTTTTAGAAAGAACTGGAGCGGAAGCTGTCGAGAATATGAAACCTCCAAGAATTATTAAAGTTCATTTACCATATCATCTCATTCCAAAACACCCTTTAGCTAAGTACATATTTTTAGCTCGTAATCCATTTGACTGTTGTGTTTCATTTTACCACCACACCAAGAACTTTTCTGATACCTACGGTTTTTCTGACGGAACCTTCAATGATTACTTTGAATGCTTCATTCGAGGAGAGGTTCAATGTGGTGACTACTTGGACTACCTCTTGTCCTGGTGGCCACATCGTCATGACACTAACGTTCTGTTTATTACTTTTGAAGAAATGAAGTCAAATCCTGAGATAATTCTACTTAAAATTGCTAAATTCTTGGGAATTCAGTTCTACACAATGTTGAAAACAGACACGAAATTAGCGCAGAAAATCTTAGAAATCACAGACTTTCACACCATGAAGAGTAAAATGGATTTAACCTTCTACAGAAGTGTCGACAAAAATAACGACGTCAAAATAGTCAAAAATGTTAATTTTTTCCGTGAAGGAAGTGTTGGGAATTGGAAAAGTTATTTTACAAAAGAACAGACTCGGCGGCTCATCGATCACATTAAAGAAAAGACTAGAGATACAGATATTTGTCTCTTGTGGAAAGATATAATGAACAGTTGAGAAAAAACAAGAGACTGGATTATTTCATGTTTAATATTATTGAATACTTAAGGAGAATAATTACAAAAAATATCCTTTGAAATTGTTAAGCACTAAATCATGATATTCATGTACGTGTATTTTTAACTGAATTTATTTAGTTCTTTAGATATGAGCACAAAGTTAAAGACAAAACAATTTCTCGAGTTAATTGAAAAATAAATTATTCATTGCTCAAAGATGATTTATGCTTTACCTAAATTTTATTATAATTTGATTCATTATACAATATAATATAATGTGCTTCTAGTAGGAGCATTGTAGAAAAATTACAGAATTCTGCCTTGTCACTTTAAAACAGTTACCAAGGGTGTGCAGAAGGTTTATGTAGGTAAAGAAATAAATGACTTATACATACATATTTCAGTAAATACATGCTATTTCAAAAATTTCGAGTTATTGCAGCCAGAAGAAATTTCATCAATGTAAGCCAAGTTCTTTATCTTCGTTTATTTGTTTGTTTTTGAATTTCGCGCAAAGCTACACGAGGGCTATCTGCGCTAGCCGTCCCTAATTTAGCAGTGTAAGACCAGCGGGAAGGCAGCTAGTCATCACCACCCACCGCCAACTCTTGGGCTACTCTTTTACCAACGAATAGTGGGATTGACCGTTAATTATAACGCCCCCACGGCTGAAAGGGCGAGCATGTTTGGTGTGACGGGGATTCGAACCTGCGACCCCCAGATGGCGAGTCGAGCGCCCTAACCACCTGGCCATGCCGGGCCCATTTATCTTCGTAAACAGATGTGTTTTTTAAATGAAGTTACGTCAGGAAATTTGTTTTATATCGCATAGTGATACTGCATACATTCATTTTTATATATTTTAACCGCATTTTGCTGGTTAAATAGTTACCAAACCAATTCACATTATTCATATAAAGATTTGAGACATTTTTTGAGTTGACCGTCGTGTTATAATCCTTTCGTAGTTCTTCAATCTTGTGTTATAATCTCTCTGCACACACCCTGTAGCTTTTCTTTAAATTGAATCTGTGCATTTTCTATCCTATCTTCTATCAAACTTATCTGAGTCCACAATATCTCGTTCTTTTAATTCATCTCTTAAACTTCTACCTTTTTCTTCTTGGCCTTCTTTTAATTTTCTGCAACTTTATCTTTCTGGGTTTCTTTTAAATCTCAGTCTATTTCCTCTTAATCATTGTTTCATCATTTCCATTAAAATTCCAATCACACTTCGAGTACTTGGCCCCCCCCCCAGTGGCACAGCGGTATGTCTGCGGACTTACAACGCTAGAATCCGGGTTTCGATACCCTTGGTGGGCAGAGCACAGATAGCCCATTGTGTAGCTTTGTGCTTATTTACAAACAATCGAGTATGTGTAATTTTGAAGTCGAGTCCAAATTATATTAAAATTTTACCAAAATAATCCTATTTCTGACACCAGTGTAGAAATGGTTTATATTGTTGGGTGGGTTCTTTTAGATTATTCAGTAATAATAAAAATACAAATTCTATTCCATTAATGACAACGAAAACATTTTATTTCTTCGACTACAAGTTCTACTGTTAGCTTAACTGAAGTTCACTGATAAGCCTAAGTTCACATTAGACGTAGGTATAATAATTTCATTTACTGAGTTGCTTGATAATTGTTCCTGTTCTACAAAACGTACATTGTATCTCTTATTATTTCGTCGAAAACACAAACTTAATATTCCAAAACCCGAACTGACAAACAGACCCAATCAAAAACCCAATAAATTAATTCGCGTTTTATACTGCTCAAACTGTTACAAGACTTTAGAGGAAATTCCAGAAGTTAAGTCGTGTGCTCATCACGTGACTCCAACCCTTTTTTCTAAACAAACAACAGTACAAACATCAAAGTTAAAAACATAACAAACATATATATCAATTTCGGTAAATTTCCAAACCAAAATACTATTCTATAGGCCATGTATGAAACAACATCTAACAAGCTTTCTCAACAGCTATTTAACAAACAACAACATTTTAATGATGTTTTACTCACCCTACATATCGGAGCAATGCTAAAACACACCCTATCCATTACGATATTACGTATGTTTACTCAATTTCACGCAAGATTTATTTAAAAAGAAAAACATCATCATTTGAATACCCGTAAAAAGTACCCAAACATTACGAACTGCAGCTGATTTACCGATTCATTTATTTCGTTTCAAATACACGGAAGTTTAACTATTTACATACGCACGTATCTCAGGTGGAGGTAGGTTCGTTTTTAACGCAAAGCTACTCAATGGGCTATCTATGTACTGTAAATTGTGGGGAATTGAACCACGGATTTTAGCGTATTGAGTTCGTAAGCTAAACGCTGACCATCCGAGGAATCAAAAAGAGAGAGAGAGGGTTTATTGGGGTGGTGGAATCGACCTTACATTTATCACATTACAATGCTTAGCTAGCCGTAAGCTGTGTAATCCGAATTTATTTACATTATATTCAGTATTCACTACAGGAACCTGGTTTTCCTTTACATAATTTAAAAAAGCTGTAACATTGATACAGCAGCACCACAAGTAGCAGCTAACTATATGAAGTTTCAGTTACTCATCCATTGAGTAGTAGTATCTATATCATATATATAATATCTCAACTTTAATAGCTTAGTAGCCCAGGTAATAAGACAAAGTAATACCACTGATCAAGGTTTCACGAACAGTTTGGGAGTGGCCAGTATTGGTTTATTTCCGTGTTTAAGAAATGAATTACAACTACTGAATGCATAGTACGTATGTCGCTTATTAACTGTATTTGTACAATTCAACTCCTGCATGAACGGGTGTTATTTTTCAAAGTCAAAGTCCTCATCGGTGTTTCAGTCTCGACTTTGGGGGTGTTGGTACAATTTTTGACCTCTTCCTTCCTCGTGTAAAGATGTTTCTTTTTCGCTTCAGTAAATTTTAACGTTGTATTTACACGAGGGTCAGTTAAATTTTAAAAGCAGTTACATCCGTTTTGGTTTAAATTTCCCGCAAAGCTACACGAGGGCTATCTGGGCCAACCATCCCTAATTAAGCAGTGAAATAAAACTAGAAGGACGGCAGCTAGTCATCACTACCCACAGCCAACTCTTGGGTTACTCTTTTACCAACGAATAGTGGGATTGACGGTAAATTATAATGCCCCCACGGTTGAAAGGTCGAGCATGTTTGGTAGGACGGGGATTCGAACCCGCAGATTGCGAGTCGACCAACCTACATACCTGACAATGCCAGGCCTGTTATTTCCGTAAATTGGAACAAAAAAAAACAACAGGAAAGCTGGATTTATATTTTACATCATCTAATTAAGTTTATGTAGGAGATAACCAGGCTCCGTAATAGAAAATAAGTAGCCTCTATTTCTCATGTGTAGCCCCCCAGTGGCACAGCGGTATGTCTGCAGACTTACAACGCTAGAAACCGGGTTTTGGTACCCGTGGTGGGCAGAGCACAGATAGCCCATTGTGTAGCTTAATTACAAACAAACAAACCTCATGTGTACAAAAATTCCCAAATTTACCTATATATGTATATTTTTATGTTTGTTCTTAATTTCTAAGTTCCTCCAAGAATTTTTAACTAAACAACCTCATATTTTGCATAGGCTTTTGATCCCTAAAAAAAAATAAAGAAAGAAAAACATTTTCTGAAGAGTTTTTGATAAGTTCATTCACAATATTCTAAGATCAAGTTTTGATTTTTTTTAATACTTGTATGGTGAACAAAATGATTTTGGAAGTTCTCAAGACGGGATCTTCGGATTGGCTAGTATATGTAAGGATTCATTCAAGCTACGTACGATTAAAATTCTCGAAACTTTCATGTTGGGATACGAATACGAGAGTCTGGGGAGGCATCTCAGGACTGTCTGTCTGGATTTTCATGAAAATTGGCACGGACACGTATACGGCAGTGCACAACAAGGTCTTACTTTTAGATGTAAAATTTTCAATTTCGTCCCTTCCTCCATACCTTGGAAAGCTTGCAGGACTGAGTGTATGGATTTGTTTAAAAATTGACAAGGGCGAACAAATGTTATTGCGAAACAAGATATTCAAAATGTTGTTTTTAATGTATAATTACTGTTTCTCGATAATTCTGAAGGGTAACTTACTAATGTAAAATATTAAACTACAATGTTATTCAGACGGTGTGTTTATCTAATCAAATACTGTATGTTTTTGTGAGGTATGTCTGTAATTGGATATCGTAATGAAAATAATTACACGAAAATATATATGTTCTTACCAAGCTCAACATTAAAATGTGTTCACATTTTTCAAATGTTGTATATATATATAGATTAGTCAATAAAAAGGATAATTTAATTTCTTGATATCTTTCAAAGAAATTATATTATCAATCTTTAAACGAGGCAAAAACGCTTAAAAAACATCACACACCTTATTTTTAGCTGTCTGTAATAACTTTTTATAGTTCCAACATTTTAAACAATGAAATTAAGAAAATGAAGGACATTTATAAAGACATTTTACTCGTTGAAAGAAATATATTTAAATTGTAAACATATATGTAAACTTAACAAAAAAATCCTTACTGTTGTAAAACGGAATGTTAAAATATTTAAAAAAAACAGACTTGTGATTGATGTATAAAATCACATTTTCCCTGCGCAAATGGAAGAACAGGCTATATTTTATCACCAGCACCACTGATCAAGACTCGTGTGTGTGTGGTGGGGGGGGGGGGGGGGGGAAGTGCCATGTAAAGTTTCTTTCACACACGTAAAAAAGGAAGACAAAAGTTCTTGACGCCAGCTTACAACACAATTAGGTTGAAAAGTGTTAACATCAAAACGACTCTCGCAGTCGCTCATGAAAATGTTTTTAAGTTAGAAAAAATTATCGAAGTTTTTTCTTTGCTTCTTTCTCTTTCCTTTGAATTTTCTGTTTTTTCTTCTCTTCTTTCATTCGCTCTTTTTGTCTTAAGTTGTTGAATAACTTGTAG